ACTTTTAATGCAAACTATGTGGGAAAAAGGGTATTCAATGGGACGAAAGTGTTCCCCTTGATACAGAATTCATATTTCAGGAATGGTTAAAAGAAGTTGAAAAAATAAAGTTTTTCGAAATTCCCAGACAGTACTTCAGTGATATGTGTTGGAAGTTTATAGAAGTTCACATATTTTCTGATGCCAGTCACAAGTGTTATGGTGCCGTAGCATATTTTAGATTTAAGAAGAAAAATAAATGTAAAACAAGTTTCATAGTGTCGAAATCCCGTTTGGCTCCATTAAAAAGGGTAACACTCCCTAGGCTTGAACTTTTGGGAACATTAATTAGACTATTTTGTATTAACTTTAACAAAATAGGGGATAATAAATGTCCATAAGAACCACTAGTAACATTTAAAGAATTTAAATTCCTTATTTGTATTTCTATATCGTCATAAAGCTTCCTCAAAGAAGCCGTATTTCCGGAATATTTTACAGGTTCTAAACTCAACAATTTATTCATATGCGCATTAATTAGCAGGTCATCTCTGCCGAAACGGTTTTTTAGTATATCAACAGCAACCGTATAGTTTTCACTAGTAAATGTTAATCCACTAATAGCATTTAAAGCTAAAAACCTCCCAAAAGCGATTTTAAATAACAAAACTTGTCAACCGAACTGAGACTTTCGTTTTGGTGAATGGAATTACTAAACTGATTCCAGAATTCAAGCCAAGAACAAGGATCACCGTAATATTTTGTAATCGTCAATTTTGGCAATTTTAAAGTATTAACTTGACAAGTTTTCAACTTCGGATATAGTTTCCTCACTAGAATTTCTAGATTCAACTTTACACGCGTTTTTTCTTAATTTTTTCCTGAATTTTACATTTAAAACTTATAATTCTTTCCTGATATTCCTGCGCGGAAATTACTTCTGTTTCTACTTTCTAACTCCTGTTCCGTAATTATAAGTTTTTCAATCTCAGAATCGTAATGTTTCAACAACTGCGATTTTTTCAAGTAACATTTCGAGTAATTCTTTTAATTTTCTCATTCGCGGTTTCACCCTCTTCTAACAATGCAGAATATATTTTACTCATCAACTTGGTAGTTAAGTTACGCGTCACCGTACGCAACTTCTTTGCCTTATTCATAGCCTCCATTTTACCATTAGATTCTATCAACTATAATAATCACCAAGATTTTTATTCAACAATTCTATTCAAAACTGGAAAAATGAAAAAGGGCCTACCTCGAATTTCTTCGCGTTAAATCCAGGCTTTTCAGTCATGAACTCATTAATTTTCTTCGTCCATTCTTCATCTCACAAATCAAGTCCGGTGTCACCAGAAAAAAAATGTACGTATCCAAATGATCAGAAGGTTGTTGATGCTTGTTCCTTGATCTATTGCACCAAGATATTTTACTGTACATTTATTTACAATTTATTTACAAATCGTATGCCACCTGGCATGTTTACAAGCGTTATGCCTCCTGGCATGTACATGATAGACATATTCTGCCACCTGGCATGTGAATTGATACATCATATTAGTTTTCTGCCACCTGACAGATACGATGCAATTACCTCAATTAGCGGTAATACGCCCGACATTTTGGCGTGTCCGCTTCCCTTACGTTCTGAAACGCAACTAACTTTTTGTGCGGTGCGCCCTCTGGGCACAAATCACCGCAATCACCGAGGAGGCCAAAACACTCTCACTCACAAAGCAGAAGTTATCTAATTCGCAAGGTTTTGTTTTAGATATAATTTAGAGAAAATTCAATTGCTTTCAGACGTCCAAAATCACTTTTTTTTTTGTTCATATAACAAAGTATTAAGCCAAGTTCCATAAAAATCGTGAGAAATTTTAGGAATAAGGAAAAGTCGGGAGAAATATATTATATAAAATATAGGACTCAGTCCTTTTCGTTGAATCGGGTTCCACAACCACACCTTGTCTCCTTTGTTGGATCTCTGTCTAGTAGCTCTCGTGTCGTATCTCGTCTTCATTTTCTTTCTCCTTCGCCAAGTTGACTTCGCTTTCGTGCAGAACGGTGCATCATTTCAAACCGGATGCATCATTTCAAATCGCCTGAGGAACACATCCAAGATGTCCATCTTGGATGTGTTCCTCAGGCGATGAAGGCACATCCGTAGGGAGACTCAAACAGGCGGTCACAAGGCAGACGAAGGTCTCGACCGAAGAGCATCTGGGGTGGAGAATAGCCGGTAGTCTTGGTGTTTCTCTTCGACCCTGGTATAATTTCGGCAGCTTCCTGAGCTCGAGTCTTTCGGACATGAGACGTCGACGTTTCCAGGCGATGATCCCTTTTGAGGATGGATAGTCATGCCATCAGATGCTGAAAGCAGCTTATTGTTTTTGAAATCTAAGGAAAATTGTATTTCCTTAAAAAGTCCAATCCGAGTATGCATGGATCTGTAATATCCGCCACATATGCCGTGTGATGGTAGGCGGCACTTCCAAACGTGATGTTTACGTTTAACTTCCCAATTATGTCGATCTTGTCACCAGACGCAGTCTGAAGGGTAACACAGGATGACGTCCAAATAAGTTTATCTTTAAACTGTTCAGCTAAATCTTTCCTAATGATGGTAACATTAGCTCCTGTGTCAATGATCATATTGCAAGGAACCCCATCGATATTCCCATTGATGGACAGTCCGTTATTGTTGCCACTCACTATAGAGATCTTAAGCGCTTTAAAACAACAGGTTTTTTCATTATCTGGCACCTCCGTTCCCTTGATATGGTCATTAATTTGTTTCCTGCGTCGTTGCTCAGAAATTGTCTCAATTTTCGTACCCTGGGGTGTTCTGCAATTCTTTCGTACGTGGCCTTCAGCTCCACAGTTCCAGCACTTTAGGTTTCTTGTCAGTCCTTTTCCTTCCCGTGGCATTTAATTGTCCTGTTTAAATCCCGTATGCCCTTATTTTCCGTGCTCTGGGGAGTTCTGCAGTTCCTTCGTATGGTGGCCTTCAACACCAACACCGCAATTCCAGCACTTTAGGGTCGGTTTTGTTTTACCACTATTCCGTCTTAAAGCATTCACTGGTCTTGTCAAGGCATTCATCAGTTTTATTATCCGTGCCCTGGGGTGTTCTGCAATGCCGTCGTAGGTGACCTTCAATAACCACATTTCCGAACATCTTGCAGCCACTTTGTTCTCACTGCTACTACTCCGTATCAAAGCATCGACTTGTCTGGATAAATCATCTAAACGAGACTATCAATTGGTCCACTGGCTCGTGAACTCGCACAGCTCTGACTGGGTTCTCCGAGCGCGAGTCCTGCTATCTCTCCGAGTTGCATTGCTGGGCTGCCTCCAATTTCACGGCGTACAACAGAGCACTTTTTACATCCTTTACATCTGCCATTCGTAGAGCCTTCTGTATTTCGGGATCCCGGATGCCATCGATGAAATATTGCAGGGACAGGATTTCCCTTGTTTCTGTCGGGCATTCCGAAAAGGCGAGATGGGACAGCTTTCGACATCCGCGGCGAGCTCCTGAAGTGTTTCGGTAGGCTTCTGTTGACGAGATTTTAATTGGAGCCTGCTGTAGTCTTTTAAACACTTCTCCCCAAAGCGCAACTCCAAGGCGCCGGACAAAGCTTCGAAATCTAACCTTTTGTTTTCGGGAAGAGTCTGAAGGATATCCGCTGCGTAGAGTAGCGGCGAGATGACAGGCCTTAGCTTGGGAATCCCATCCATTCGCATCCGAAACGATAGAAAATTGTGTTTTATACACTTGCCAGGATGTCTTCCCATCATATGTGGATAGCTTCAGAGATGGACGAGCAGGCATTGGTAAGAATTTAAAATCATCACTCCTGCTCCCTGCCGACGCTACGAATTTCTTTAAAGTATCCATTTCTTTGGCAACTGCAGAAACTCTCTCATCAATTTGTTGTTCGATTTGGTGTTGGACGGCACAAACTCTTCCTTCAATTCGTTCCTCCACAGCAGAAACTCTCCCTTCTATATGTTCTTTTACAGAAGAAACTCTTTCTTCTATTCTTCTTTCACCCGAAGAAACTCTTTCTTCAATATGATCTTTTACGGAAGAAACTTTTTCTTCAATATGTCCAACTTTATTTTCAACTGCGTCAATTCTGCCTTCCATAGCTTCAAATTTATTTTCTATTATGCAAGTAATTTCTCTTTTCATTTCTTCTTGACCAGCTTGAACGGCTTTCATTTCGTCCTTAACGGATTCCTGGCCCAATTTCATTTCTTCTTTAAATGAGGCAAAGGCAATATTAACTGCCTTAATTGCTCTTCCATCGCTCTTGTTATTGGCATTCAAACCCCACTTCTGACACCAAAAATTGTTGCGTGTGTACGGATTCGTTATGAAATGAATGCACAAGTCCGATGAAAAAAATGAACAAAAATTTATTATTATCACAACAAAAATGCTTAAATTTTCTCAAATTATCACGCAGTATTACAATATCTCACAGTAGTTTTCTTTTAACTACTCAAATGTCCAATAGAACGTAATTCAAAACAGCTAAAGAACGCTAATCCGCGAATTCGCTACAATCAACAACAGTAGTTTTCTAAACAACAACAAACTAAGCAACTACTACTACAAAACTGAGATGTTTTCCTCCTTTTATAAGATTTTAAAATCACGCGCTAGAATTTTCCAGTACTTTCTCGAAATCAAAAAGAGATATTTATTTATTTAATGCACGTGCTCTTGTAATTTCAATTTTACGGCTTAGCTTTCTTTTAATATTCGTCACGCGCTGCACTGCGCGAGAAATAAAACCATTTAATTTATAATTGAACTAACATTAGCTTTTTAAATACCAAATTCGTAACAATATAAACAAAAAGCATTTTAATGCCCTTACTACAAATAAATGGACATATATAAAATCAATTACTTCAGTTTTAGAAAAACTGTCAAACTATACCAAAGATATAAAATAATTCACTTTTAAATTTATTGGTGCAAGCCAAATCTATATTCTGATAACCAAAACATGATTTTACATCCTAAAGCAAGTTATTTTTTTTTTTCCAAGGAATTACTACATGCTCAAATAAATCTAATGAGCAAATGTTTACGTACAAATATTACAAACATGATATTCAGAATTTGATACTCATACATATTTGTTGTTCAAAATATTAAGGCAACATTAGAGAATCATGCTTACATCCTGATTAAATATTCTTGCTCGTGCCTTCTCGTATTCTTCCTCTCGTTCTTCAAATGATTTGCTACGTCTACTATCAGTAGAGGACTGCCGCTCTGGGCTCTTCTGCTAAAACAATTTTTTTTAAATCTTAGTCTTTTACCACTAATGCGTAGAATGTGCAAGTAAAATTATTTTTACCTCTTTTCCTTCTTCAAAAGATATGCTGTCACGTTTTAAGATGGACTTTTTTGGTTCTTCAGGTAAAAGTTCATCCCTTATTAAATCCTGGAAACGGGAATCGGGTCTGAAATTGTATTATTAACAGTTTGTGAAATGTTTTGCAGAAAATAGTTAAATTATGCATTTGTGCAAACAGCTAATGATGATATTTTATAATGTAGCCAATATGATGCATTCAGATACTCATGTGATATAAGCATGCACTACAAAGCTAAAAATTAATTAAATAATAAAGCAGAATGCTTCTGGAAAGTCTGTATTGTTTTTGTTTAAATTACTAAATTAAAATGAAATGCTCTACAGTCAGTTTTACAAAGGAATTTTATTCCAGGCTAATTTCACAAAATTTAACAAATGGAATTTTTGATTATTACCAAAACTCTTTCAATATTATGCAAAAAGCTTTACCAAGAAGTTAAATAGTTTGATTTTTAGGTTTAAAATTAAACATCAAATTCAAATAAACTAACTAAACATACGTACTTTAGAATTGAAGTGAAAAAAAGGTTTTTCAGTGGGTATTTAGAAGTTCTTTTGAATGGATAACCAGCAGCAGTTTTACACAAATATACACATTTTCAGAATATTCATCTTTATGCAGCTGTATACTGGCATTATGACAGGTTGCTAACATAAATGCTATAGTATCCTTTGAAACCAAAATAGCAGACAATCGTTTAAAAAAGAAAAAAACAGATACAGAATCCAGAGAATTTGTCTTTCATGAAAGAAAGAAAAGAAAGAAGTTTCATGAAGAACATGCTCGTCGCTATTCAACAAAAACTAATATATTATTCATAAAATTTCCCACAAGAAATATAAATAGTTCTGAGGAATTAGGGATTTTAAAGGTACCAAATACAAAATTCCTCAGAATTTTGAATACATGAAATAGAGGTACAAATTTTAATCATTTCTCTACGTTTAAAAAAATACAGCATTTGTTATTGAACTCTATAAGCCTGCATGCATTAGAATATGATCACAAGCAAGTTTTTAAAACATTCGCCAAAGAATTTTTTTTTTTTTTTTTTTTTTTTTTTTTTTTTTTTTTTTTTATGTATACCATTCATTTGAGGAAAGTAATTAAATTAAAATAAGTTCAAATCCAAGACTAATGTAGGAAAAATTTCATAAAGTTGGTTAAGAAGAGGAAACTCGCTCACAATTTATGTATTCATGATGTATGAACATAGAAATTACACTGATGGGGAAAATTACAAGAACAACCATTAAAAGGTGCAAAATTAAAAATACAGCAACAGAAAAAGCCACTTTATCTTAGTCCCAAGAAAGGTAGATCAACATTATCACATAGTCCAGTGGGATTCACCTTGGTTCTTGATCCACATGTCAAGTAGTTTAGGAATGCAGTCAGTTAATAATGTCCTCCTAATGAATGATAATGCTTTTAGAAGTTGTAAAACTATATGTTTATTCAGCGTAATTAAGTTTAGTTATTGGTATCTACTGCTTTATTTGGTATGTGGCAATAACCAAAGTTTTAAATGTAGAGAAACATTTCTAGTTACCAATTTTCTATTTGGTTTGGGTTCAGGTTATTTGAACTATGTTTTACATTCGCCCGATGTAAATTTTTATTTTAATCCATGGTGCTTAACCCACTATTATTTATGATTATATATATGTTTCCCTGTTTAACATTTAGTTTATATTTATGCAACTCAAGGAGATGCACTTTAGGGACTAAATTAAACTTCTTTAATCTGCCTCCCCCCTCCAAATGGTTGGGAGGAATATATGTACCATTACCGCATGTGTTTACAATTAACACATTTCTTTTCCCATGAGAAACAATTCAACTATTCAGTCAACTCTTGTATGTATCTTTCTGAACTGATGAGAAAATTCCAAAATGGGAGTCTGGATCTCATTTTCTTGCTACTTTTGTTTACTCATTAAAGAGTCTGAAAGATAATGAGAAGAGAATGATTTAAGACTTGCAAGTGTCCCGATGTTTTGCCTGTAAACATGTTTGTCTGTGTAAAAAAAAAAAGTACAATATTGTTCCTGAGATGTTAAAAATGAAATTCTATTGTTATGTTAAATAAAAATTCAAAAGATAATGTGTCTAATGTTTCTTTGGTCTGGAAGTTTAAGACACTGCAAGGGATTGGTTTCAAATTTCAATCTTGAACAGCATACTGTCTGCATGAATTTCGAAACTTACTTCAGTAAAAATGCTTTCCCAGATTTTGCTAGTATTAGATTAGAATAACAGGAAAATGCTGCATTTTTGCCAATACTTGCTATGGCATGTTTATAGCTGCAGCACCAACTAAATTTTCAATAACAAATTTCCATATTTCCGAGTCAATCAAATTTTATTTTACTTATAGCTTTTTGACACTGTTATTAAAACATTCTTTATTTTCAAGTAGTCTCACAAAAGTATAATTCTAGTAAAAAACATTTTTTCACTTTAATGTGCCTGCTCATGCAGAGGTCTTTCTCAATGAAACATCAGATATACCAGAAATATTATATTAATAAAATTCTTTCCTATCAAGGTATCACTTTACATTCATTTTTTATCCTATATTGGAGGTCTCTGAACTATGACCCAAGGGCCAAATCTGGCCCGCAAGTACTAATGATCCAGCACGTCAGGGGTTTCTTTAAAATAATGTTATAAAATTTAACAAATAACATAAAAATTAACTTTTTTATATAACAGCCAGTCTAGAGATGTGCTGCCTATCATGCACGTTCTTTATAAAAAATATTATCTAAATTTACAAACAGTGAAAAACACAGTAACCTTCTACATAAAAAATATCATGTGAACACGACTCCCTCATACGCCCTATTAAATTACACATTTTTTTCGCACTTCATTTAAACTTATTTCATCAGATGCATATTTCTCATTCAATCAATTCAGTTCTCACTTCGTGGCAAGGAACAAATACATGAAAACTCAAAACATCTTCAAACAAAGCAAGAATTTAATATGTAGACAAACAGCAGCTTCGTTAGGCTTAGTAGCATTCAAACAACTTTTAAATTGTTGATAACTCTACAACTATTGCATGCACATTAACTAGAGTCATAAAAAACGTTAACTGGCAACTACATATTACAGCAGTCCCATATGGAAAAAAGTTTCAACATTTTCAGACTACACATTTTGGAATTATGCGAGATACATGAGTACGTACAGACGTCATGAAAAAAATCTCTCCCGAGTTCACTTTAAATCCATTTTACAATCCGTTTAGAGAACAATACTCCTTTATTATGTGTCACACAAAAAAATTGCTCAAATGAATTCAAGAGAGGTCAAAATGGATATTTTTGTGGAAATAGGATATTCCACATTTTTTGCAAATCAATTTTTACTTCACACAAGGAAGTAAAAAATTCTCATTGTACTTTTTACAAGAATAAAAGTCTGATGTGCTATCTTTCCTACTTTCACAGTAGTATTCTAGGTCGGTTCATAGAAATTTTCAGTAGTGATTTTATTTAAAACTTAATTTTTGTTCTGTATACATTGTAATTTGTTTTCAGCTCCTGGAGATGTTTTTTCATACAAAAATTACCCAAAATATGAAATACTTATGAGCGAAAGTTTGCACCTGATCAAAATGTAAATAAAATGTGCTGATAAATTGTGACAATGGGAAGGTAAAACCATTGAAAAGTAAAGTACATACTAAAATAAAGAAATTTGTAATATTCTGGGACAAAAATATATTTTTGCAAATGTTTAAAAATAGCTTTAAGAAATTTCAGTTAGGTGAAAATGCATGAAAGTCTAAAAAACAAAGCTCTTTGTAAGATCACAGTGTATAGCCTAAACACAAAAATCTCACTCCCTCGTTTAAAAAAATGTATGTTGTTCATCATAATTGCATCGCTGTGGTATGATGAATTAACTGAATCTTGGCATTTGATGCTTCATGAAAGAGCCAATATGGTCCAAGGGCTATAACGTTTGGAGACCACTGTTCTATACTACCAATTTATTATGGTGAATCACACAGCAGCTTTAAGAAGAGGTCCACTGCGAAAAAAAAAAATAGGACAGTTTTATATCTCCCGTCCTACTGGGCCAATTAGTATTATCACTTTACATTCATTTTTTATCCTATATTGGAGGTCTCTGAACTATGACCCAAGGGCCAAATCTGGCCCGCAAGTACTAATGATCCAGCACGTCAGGGGTTTCTTTAAAATAATGTTATAAAAAAATTTAACAAATAACATAAAAATTAACTTTTTTATATAACAGCCAATCCAGAATGTGCTGCCTATCATGCACATTCTTTATAAAAAATATTATACTAAATTTACAAACAGTGAAAAACACTGTAACACTGTCTACATAAAAAATATCATGGAACATGACTCCCTCATATGCCCTATTAAATTATACACATTTTTTTCTGCACTTTCATTTAAACTTATTTCATCAGATGCATATTTCCATTCAGATAATTTCAGTTCTCACTTCGTGCGACAAGGCAAAAATACATAAAAACTCAAAACAACTTCAAACAAAGCAAGAGTTTAATATGTAGACAAACAGGCAGCATTCGTTAGGCTTAGTAGCACTTAAACAACTTTTAAATTGTTGATAACTCTACAACTATTGCATGCACATTAACTAGAGTCATAAAAAACGTTAACTGGCAACTACATATTACAGCAGTCCCATATGGAAAAAAGTTTCAACATTTTCAGACTACACATTTTGGAATTTTGCAAGATACATACGTACAGACATCATGAAAAAAATCTCTCCTAAATCCATTTTGGGGGAAAGAGTCTCTTTATTCTGTGCGTGCGTACACAAAAAATCATTTAAATAGATTGAAGAGAGGTCAAAATGGATATTTTCATTAAAACATGATATCCTAAATTTTTTACAATTACAATACTTCGCACTTACTTAAAGGTTTCGTGTGTATCTTTCTAACTTTTATAGTACTATGCTAGGTCGGTTCATAGAAATTTTCAGTAGTGATTTTATTTAAAACTTAATTTTTGTTCTTTTTATGTAGTAATTTATTTTAATCTTGGAGATGTTTTTTTCAC